TTGATTGCAGATAATGCTGCAGTGAATGCGAGTTTTTAAAAAATCTTCTTGAAGTCTTCATTCAGTTGTTATAGGCAAATGCTAAGATGTGGGATTACCGGATCATGTGGTGGTTTTATTTGTAATTTTTTTCTCTTTTTACTTTGTTGATCTAAAAAAATCTACCTTTTCATTGCTTGGTATGTTTGGTCCTGCCAGTTATCTCTTGATTACCATTTGTGTAGAATATCTCTTTGCTTTCAGCCATGTGCCTTTAGATCTCAAACGAGTGTTTTGCAGACTGTACACAGTTGGACCTGGCTGTCTTTATCCATTCTGTTGCTTTGTCTTTTGGGTGGAGCTGAATCCATTTGCATTAAGTGAAATGAGTAGTGTGAAAGAACTTGCAGTTGTTAACTGCTTCTTGTCTGTCCGGTAGCTTTTTGTCCCACTTCTCACGCTATCTGTTTTTTTTTTTTTTTTATTCTTGGATATCACTTATTCATTTTCTTTTGTGTTTTATTTTTAAAGATCTTTTTATTTTTTATGTGCTTTGGTATTTTTTCCTGCATATATGTCTGTGTGAAGGTGTCAGATTCCCTGGAACCGGAGTTACTGAAAGTTGTGAGCTGCCATGTGGGTGCTGGGAATTGAACCTGGGTCCTCTGGAAGAGCAGCCAGTGCTCTTAACCACTGAGCCATCTCTCCAGCCCTCTTTTGTGTATTTTTATGGTTATTTCCTTTTCAGTTAACACAGTCTCATATAAAACATCCTTTAGGTACAACAGTATTTTCAGCTGATAACCTGTGTACATAAATGCCAATCACATACATATACTCTGTCCTTTTATTTCGTTCTTCTTTTATGTTACCTGTACTGTGCCCCTTTATATATTCCATAGCTGTAGTTACTTATTATGCTTTTGTCTTTTAAGTCATATAATAGAATGAAAAGTGATATATGGGCCAGCAAGGTGGCACAGCAGCTGAAGATGCTTGTCACCAAGCCTGATGTCCTGAGTTTGATCCTGGGAACCCACTGGTAGGATAAGAGCACTTAGTCCTTCAGCTTATCCTTTGACCTTCACATATGAACTGTGTGGCATGCCTCTCCCATCCCCAATAAATAAATGAAAAGAATCTGTGTTTGATATGGGAACTGTCTCATGTTACAGTATTACAGGATCTTGATTGTCTGCGTATTTGCTTTTCCAGCGAGCTTTATTGCTTTCCTATGCTTCTGCGTTGTAGTCTAGTGTGCTTGCTTTTCGTTTGGAAGGGGTCTCGTCAACATTTCCTTCCAGGCAGGTCTAGTGGTGAGCTCATTCAAGCTTTGATGTATCTGAGAATGCCTTTCCTTTTCCTGATATTTGTAGTATTTTGGTAGTTTTGTTAGACACAGTATTCTTGGTTCATGCCCCCTCCCCCTTAATATATCATTTTGAATATGCATTTGCTCCCTTCTGGCTTGTGAAATTTCTGCTGAGAAATCTGCTTACAGTCTTAGGATTTTTGTGCCAATCCCATGTTTTAAATGAATTTGTTCATCAAAGACTTGAACTCTGAATCTGAAAAGAGAAAGCATTGTGCTTTATGAAGCCAGATAGCATGATGGGTAAGAGCAGTGCATTTATCAGTGCATTTATCTGAGTCTAAGGTAGAATCTAAGCATCCTGTTGTTTTCTGCCTGGGCCAAATAGAAGCTTGGAGAGCAGGAGGCTCAGGACCTGATAATGACATTTGGGTAAAGAAATACACATGTCAGTGTTTCATTATGAAAATAGCACCATGCTTCCAGGCAAAAATATTTTTCATGGATGTGCTTGTGTTTTTGTAGTGCAATATCTTTGCTTTATTCTTTCTACCTATGTGGTTGCTTAATTTGGGTTATTAAGTCATAAGAATGATATTGAGCCGGGCGGTGGTGGCGCACGCCTTTAATCCCAGCACTCGGGAGGCAGAGGCAGGCGGATCTTTGTGAG